GAAATATTCTAGGCAGTCAGACAGGGCTGGGCCTTCAAGGGGATCAGTGCAGAAGATGAAAACACATCTTCTACAAGTGCGGCTGAAGGTGCATCGGTCAAAGGCCAGGCCTCAAGATAACGATGCAATGGCCAGGTCTATATACCTTCCCAAGGGAGAAATCATAAATTAAAGATTGTAACTGGTATCACCTGGTCCAATAAAGTCTAGATAGTCATTAGTCACCCAGGTTGGTCGCTGGGACATCCTAGTATATCCCTTTGTTCTTCGCACGCACACTTGCTATGTAACCCAGATCCCCATTGGACTGACATTATCTAAATGGCTATGCTTGTAATTTTATTGGTTGATCATAGTTTTGTCCCACATTGTACCCACCTCAAGATTTTGTATCCACCTCAAGATTTTGTATCCACCTCATGATTTTGCTCTAGAAAACTTCCTCTGAGAAATAAGCTTGTTGGACCCACTTTCCGGTCCCCTCCTGTCTCTCAGGAGCTATCTATTTCAATACGTTTTTTCCTACTCTGTTGTTCCTTAGAATCCATTCTTTGATTTTAGGGAACACAAATTTGGTATGTCTTGACATATAGTGGGTTGGGAGTTATACTTATTTTCTCTATACCCTTATGGCAAGTAATTTGTGTACTTCAGTGCAGCATTGTTTGTGAGCTAGAACAGTCTTTTTAAAAACAGCTCATCTGAGTACACCTGTACTTCCAGCCCGTGGGAGGCTGAGGCAGGAGGACTGGTATGAGTTCAAGACCAGCCTGGGCTATAAAGTGCACTCAAGACCAGCCTGAACTGCATAATAAAAAATCTGTCTCAAACAAAACAAAACAAAACAAAACAAAACACCCCCCAAACAAAACAAAAACAAGCAAACAAAAAACCCCAGGTCATCGCACCTTGCTCTCCAAAAACGTCCTATACACTCCCTCTCAAACTCCAAATAAAACTCAGGGTCCTAATCAGAATTCTGAAGCCTGATGTCACCCTCTGCTATGTTTGTCCTAGAGGTCATTTCCCAGCACCCTCCTCTTGACAGACTCTGTCCTGACCACGTGGTCCTCCTTGCTGCTCCTGTGCATGGATGGTCTTGTCCTGTCCCCAGGGCCTTCTCATTCAGTGTCTTCTCTAACCACAGTGCTCTTTTCTCAGGTGTCTGTGTTTGTCCCTCATTTCATTCAGGTCTCCTATAAATGTCACCTCTGAGGTACTTCCCTGACTTGTATCTAAAGTCATTAACTCCAAGCCCCGTTCTGCTTTATTTTCATTCAAATACTTTTTTTTTTTTTCTGTTGCGGAACCAAGGGTCGAACTCAGGCCCTTGTGTTTGCCAGGGAAGCGCTTGTTCCACTGAGCCATCTCCCTGGCCCCTCAAATACTTTTAGATACCTACTATTGTTATATATTTTGTTATTATATTCCTTTTCTTTTTTTT